TGAGAAAAAGCTGAAGGTGAAATGTCATCATCACTGCACACGCCTGCGCACGCCAAGAGAAAACCCACCGCCTGGCAGAGTTTAGAGACGGCTTGGTAACACCTACACAGGAAACTAAGCCAATGAATTAAAAAAGGCAATTACTAAAATAGGAAGGAGGAAAAGAGTGTTATGCAAGAAAGGAAATGTAATCGGAGTCCACTCTGTGGCTCAACTAACTATAAGCCTGATGTAGTAAAAATAACATAGAGATTAAATGCTGACTCGGCCAAAAATCCTCATAAAATGAGGATGGAATGAAAGAAGAAGAGGGTCGTGTATGTCTGTGTTTGTGTGCGTGTGGCCTTATCGGGGGGTGGGGGAGAAGAGTCGGTAAGAGATTTAACCAACCATCTTGCACAGTCATTAGAGATAAAGTTAATCGTATCTAAATCTGAAAACTAAAATCAAGAAAGTTATTTTATCAAATTTGAAATGTCACCTATTTAAAAGGATCTCCATTAGTTTATGTACCTCCCAGAATTAAAAAAAAAAAAAAAAGCCAATTAGACCATGACACGCAATCACTCGTAAGACCCAAAGATTTCAGAGGTATTAAAATGGAAGGGAGGGAAAGGATGTATGGTTTAGAAATATAGTGGTGTCTTCTATGAGAAAGAGCTGAACTGGTTCAAACGGGTTATCTCTGTGGTCCAGGAATCCAGGTGGGGAGGGGTGAGGCACGTGGTTGCTATTTTTGTTGTAATCTTCGTTAAACCTTAAAAAATATTGTATGTGTAACTTTATTAATGATTAATTAAGTTTTAAACAAACAAGGAAGAAGAGTATATAACACAACCTCCAATTTAAAAAAAAGGCTTTCTCTGCTCCAGTGATCATGACACAGCTTAAATGCTATTTGATGAAACTACTTAACATAAAAACATCTTGTAATTCTCATTATTTTACTATTCAAAATCAACTACAAATGGATGAAGAGAGCTATAAAATAACCCGAAACCCTCGTAACTTACTATCCCCATATTCTGCTCTCTTCTCTCCAATGGAACAAAATCCAAATATAACTTCTTTTTTGCCTATTTTATAGGTATTTGTTTGCTAGGGCTTCTGAGATGGTGGGTTCTCCAGCCTGATCCTTACTTACTAGAGGCACTTTACTTTTACTTAACTTTCTTGCCTCCTTAGCTTGGAAAAGCATCACTTTATAAGTGATACATGAGTCACCCATGCCAAAGTGTAAGCACAGGTACTGGCTAATCACACACTTGTTCTCCTGCTTATGAGGAACCAGACTGATTTGGAGTGTGCATGCAAAAAAAAAAAAAAAAAAAAAACCCTAATTTTTAAAAGAATACTTTATTCTTGTTAGACTTAAACTCTCTCCTGAGAAAAGATATTTATTCTCCCCAAATACATTTCAAAAAACATGCCATTCTTCAGTTTCCCCGTGGGTTTGGAAGTAGTCTTAGATACAGGATTGTCTAAAAAAGAAAAAATGACAAGAGTCTGAACGTTGGGAAGAGTTCAGCCATGTTCTTGGCTGGAATGAGTCCGCATTTACACACTTAAACACACCAACACCATGCAGTAGAGGCAAGGACTCTGGAAGGTCTGAAATTTTACCCTACTTACAAGCTTACTCACTAGCCTGCCGTGATTTCAGAGACGTGGCAGAAGACATGAGACTCCTGGGTGAGAGACAAAGAATTTTATTGCTCACGACAACAGCGGTAGCCAGAGTATCACCATGGGCACCCACTCCCTGAGGCCCCATTCCCACAGGGCAATGGGAAGGGGGGCCAGGTGATACAAATGGCAGCTTACAATCCAGGGAAAGAACCCAATCTTCTTTTTCCAAATACTTCTATGGTGCTAAAATACACACAACATTTACAATTTTGACTAGTTTCTTTTTTGTATTTGTTCCTTTACCTTAAAGGGAGAGAATGCCTGCGTGCAGGGGTGAGAAGGGCAGGGGGAGAAGGAGAGAGTCTTAAGCAGACTCCACGAGCCTGACACAGGGCTCGATCCCATGACCCTGAGATCACGATCGGAGCAGACACCAAGAGTTGGATGCTTAACCAACTGCGCCACCCAGGCACCCCCAATTTTGACTAGTTTTGAGCATACAGTTTGATGGCACCATATCTTTTATAATGGATACTAAACCTCACTGGCCCTGCACCGCAGGAAGACATTATCCTTATGACACTGGACAATAAACAAACCTGGCCTTTTCTCCATGCCAAGGGTTCTCATCTCAGTCCTATTAACATTTTGGGCTGAATAACGTTTTGTTGTTGAGGGCTGTCGTGTGCATTACCGGATATTTAGCAGCATCCCTGGCCACTTCCCACCAGCTGCCAGGAGTACTCCCTCAGTTACAACAATCAAAAAATGTCCCCAGAAATTGCCAAACATCCCTCAGAGGCAAGGCTGCCCTCGAGTTGAGAATGATTGTTCCGGAGGAAGTCACTATGTCTGTCTTCTGAGCTTATTCAAAAGATAATCCAAAGCAAAAAAAAAAAAAAAAACCTAGAAAAGATAGTCCAGAACAAAGGCAATCTGTCCCTCTGCTCATAAGATATGCAAAAACACAAGAGATCCATGGAGAATTGGCTCCTGGCAATATTTACTTCTAAAACTTGATCTGTTATTCAGGCATAGATACATTACTTGGCCGATTACACATGATATTTGCGCGCGCGCGCACACACACACACACACACACACACACACACACACACATGGCCTTGCCCGTGGCCCTTTGACTAAAATTATAACATGAACCATTGAGATGATAGGGAATCAGTCCCAAGAAATTAACTGGGCATGGCCCGAAAGGGGGTGTACGTAAGTGTCATTCATAGCTGAGCCAAGTAGTATATGACGACTACATTTCCTTTCCTGTGTAGGAATGTTTTTCCTTCCTTAAGCTAATAATTGGCTTTTTGGGGTTTGGGGTTTTTGTTTTTATTTTTGGCATCTAATACTCTTTCCGCAGATCACTCATACAATTTGAAACTGGACAGACTTGCATTCAAATACAAACTTCTCTACATAATGGGACAAGCTTGGACAAGCACGTCCACCTACATGAGCTCACTTTCTTTCCCTACATAACGCAGGCGTGATAAGACCTGTGTTTCAGGGCTGTCATCACGATTACATGAGATAAAAGTACCTAGTACGGTGCCTGGCACTTGGGAGGTACTTAGTAAACAGTACCTACTGCTTCATGAAAAGCACCAATAGAGTACAGCTGCAGAGTTGTTCTTAACTGTCATGGAGCTTTACGCTTACTTCTCCACACCCTCACTTGGTTCTTCATAGTACTGATAACACAGCCGCTGAGGACAGGGAGCAGAAGGTCAGCAGGCCATAATGAGAATGACTCTGACACTGGACCCCGTAAGTATCTCTCACCAACCATGTGCACCAGCCAATTCCAGCCGTACTACCAACGGGGTCAAAGAAGAAAGGCGTTCCGACTTTTTTTTACCGGGTTTCATTTCCTTCGAAGTGACATCAGTGTGTTGACATTGCCCAGCTTTCGCCAGTCTGTTCACCCAGTGTCTCTGCGTGCTCGCATGTTAATAAGCTAACCCTCTCCAGTCAAATGAGAAATGGAGTTCTGCAAACACTTAGCCAAGGCTGTTCAGGTAGCGTCAGAGACCAGCTCCTTCCCTCTATCGGCTCCCCTTCCCGCGACACAAAACTTACGAGTAATGAAACCCCTATCACAGGTTTTGAAACTTGTTACGTGATTGACAAAGAGAGTTCTCTTGTGGCAATCGCGGTCTGATTCTGTCCTGATATCATCTGGCCTTCTGACTCTGGAATAAATTCGTCTTGTGTTGGGCAGCTGTTCGGTGCTCTACATCCATGATGATTACTCTTGTCTTCAAATGTAACATTTAATTACAGCTTTCATAGAAGACTTAAAATTCCATTTTCCCTCAGGAAAAAAAATACCCATAACTGGAGTTTATGAAAAATTATTAGTTGTGGCTAATCCTGGGTAATAAATTGGATTTTTGAAATCTGTGTGAGTTTTAACACATGAGGCTTTTCATCAGGAAGGCGACGCTTATGGGAAATGCCTGTGGAATAATCAAGCAGCAATTTCGCTGCCACGCTGTTAAAGACAAATACAATTGAGAAGATCATCTATGGAACTTGCTGGATTGTGAAATTTGCTTTCTGTAGGGGAAATCTCACATAATAGTCAGAGGACAAGTGACAGTTCCTAGTGACTTCCCATTCCCTCGAGCCTGCGGTTATGACTTCGTCCTCCCTACCTCGATGCCAGTGCTCCATCTAGAAATGTAAGAAATCCAGCTGAGTCGTATTAAAAAGCCTAACTGACTTATTTCTTGCATCATTTAGCCAACACTAGCACTACTTCATCCCTTCTGTAAGCACATGGACACACACACACGCTCACACGCTCACGCTCATTCTCTCTCTCCTACAAGTACCGTGTTCTGTTGGCCGAAAAAGAAAATCAGCACACACACAGCAAATAACGCGCACTGTACTTGTATAAGCAATTCTTCTATGAAAAATTAATTCCAACCACAACAATTTCAAGGGCCCTAAAGGATAGAATATCACAGGTTTTAAAAAAAAAAAATGTTTTTCTGAAGGGAGGACCTTTTTTCTAGACAAAAACCCCCAGCCAATATGCTTTTTCTGTATCAAACTTTCTCCCCCTTTGCATCTCCTGGCTTACCCAATCCACCTTACTCTTCCATGCTATTTATTAAAGTTACATCAACATTATTTAAAAAATTAAAATTAAAAAAGACAACTCAAATGGCTATTCTTTGTAGGACTGCTAGGAAGACCTGAGGGGGTGTTGTGGGTCATTCGACCACCCAGCACCTGAGAGGGTCTAACCAGCCTACTCGGAGGAACAGCCTGGAGCAGACAACACAAAAATTGAAAGAAAAAAGTGGTCATTAGTTTATGCATATTTTTAAAAACATGGCGACTACCTGGTCAACTGGGATCTCAACTTGAGTGTCTTCATCTTCTTGGACTTCTGCTGCCCCCCGTGTCTCAGACCTCTCTGCTCCAGCTTTGAAAACGCCTTCATCTATTATTGGAGACAAATGCACAGTGAAAATCAAAATCCAATGGTGACATCATGTGGCTGAATGTTGAAACTGCAATCAAATACCTAATGAAGATAATGCTTCTTAATAGGTATTTTGCTTCCCTTCGTACTGATAGGGTTTTTGCAGCCCTCCCTCCCCACCCCCTCCGCCACACACACATTTCCGCATTTTCACAGGGAAGAGGGTCAGTGGTGAAGACGAGGCTGACTGAGCAGAGCAGAGCTGTGTCCCAGACTCCTCACCCTCAGGCTGCGGGTCTAATAACACACCCCTGTAGAGGTATTTACATAGAAAGGACCTCACACCTGTTACCTGCTCCCCACTCCTATCCACAAAACAGTGATGATGCTTGTTTGCCCAAAAATACTAGTTTTAGAGGTTCTTCTTTCCCACAAGAATGCCAGGCACTGAATATAGTGTGTTGGCATAATTCTATTTGGAGCAATAATAAAAAATATGTATTTTTTTCCTGCAACAGAATCATTGATTCTCGGTCTCACACAAATCAGTCTTTTAGTTTGCAGATTTCCACAGGATTTTCACAGCCTAGTTCTCAAAAATCCTTAACCGTAAAATGTAACCTAAATCTCTAAGGCTTTAGGTTAAGCTCCCGTGACTTGTTTTCCCACGGAAAGCAACGATAGCTGTTTTCTGTATCCAAAGAAGTTTCCCTGTTTCCCCTCAGTCTTCTCTCCTCCAGGCCAAGTCATCAAAGCATCACAGAATAGTTTGTCATTCTATCTGTGTGCCCCAAAATAGGCTTAAGCCTTCCGTCCTTCTCACAGATGTTTCCTCTGCCCAATTTTTAAGGATCTCCAGGGATGGAGATTTCACCTCCTTCTCTGGTAATCTACTACAAAACTCGCCCTGCAGTTTAGAAAATATGGTTTCATCTTTTATCTTAAAACCTCCTCTATTTCTCCATTGGAAGCTTGTTTCCCAGAGCACAATTATCTGACATGTGTCACATAATAACACTCCATATTGTTAAAGTTATAAAAGTCACTCGTTATTTATGATGAAATGGAAAACATCCCTTTACATTCGTGGAGGATCGAGTATATGTAAGGCGCCATGTGAGTCACGGTGGCCACCGAAGACATACATGAGATGTCGCTCAGGTTGCTTACAGACCCATGAGTGTATATTTGGAGATGTATACACACCCCCAGTAAGGTACTGCCCTGGAGGAAATGCTAGAACAGGTAACGGCTGGAGCAGAGCGCCATGGGCACTCAGAACATATAACCAAGTGAAAAAGGGAGGGAAGGAGAGAGGAAATATAACCACACTCAAGCCCTTCTTGTTTCTCCTAGAGAAACCATTTTCCTTTTTAATTACTTTTTTGTAACTTGACTGGATATTAGCTTCTCTAGTCTCCTTTTTAAAAACCAGGGACAACAGGGCTGCCCTCAAAGCTGATTATACATGTTAGATTAATTCACATGGATTAACTCATTTTGAGGATTATCTACAGCAATCATTTAATCCCAGACTGGTTCTTCCTATCATCCAACAAAGTCTTTCCACCCAATGACCCCTTCTTTCCTTCAGCTCTTGTATGCTTAAGCAATCCAGAGTAATTTTTCATTCAACTAGAGTTTTCTCAGTTAAATCATCTTACATGTATATCAAAACTGAAAATATACATGTATACGGGAATCCCTACAACATCATCACCAAATGAGGATGTCAGCACTGGCAACTATTCTGGATTATCACTAGCACTAATCCTCCCCAAAGACATGGCCCATGCAGCATATCCAAGGATTATGTCCTGACTTGGTCTTGTCTTACAACTGAGGACATGAATCCACAGTGAAATCTCAGCCAAAACCTCAGCAACATCAGAAGAAAGAATATAGAAAGCAAAATAGAAAATGTGCTGACAGCCTCATGGATGTAGAAAGAAATGCACAGCGTTTTGGTTACACACTCAACAAAGCCATCCTTGACCTAGCAAGAGTGCAGGGAAGGCTACTTCGAGGGGCTAGGAAAATGGCTCACAATTATTGTCATAAAGCAGGAAAAGTGAAAGGGAGTAATCAAGTCTACAAAACTGGGAGTCAACAGATATACGGTAAGCTCTTGGTCTCTCCATCAAACTCTGGGGAACTTGGAACTCAAGAAAACAATGGCAGAAACTATACAAATAAATTCTGCCTTAGTCACATGTGGAGTTCATAACCTTGAGAACGTGCAGAGGCAAATTTCAAAAAAAGGCTGCACAATTTATCAAATGTTATCTCCAGTGTAGTTTTAAAAGGAAAATTAGGCATATTTGACATTCATTGCTACCTTCTGGATTACCTTAGAAGACAGTAATCATACTCGTCCCGAAAATGGCCCTTGAGTCAACCTTCAGTGAAAGATGTTGCGCTCTAGTTATGACCTGAGTACATGACATTTTTGGATGACATTTGGGCATCCAAGTGTTACACTTGCTTTCAAAGACACTACCAAGAGAAACCTACAGATACGAAAGGAATACATTCTTAAATACTCACATCCAATGGAATGCTTAACTTGATCCAACCAGAGCTATGAATGACTTGCAGATGTGTTTTAGAATAAACATTTCATAGGAAAAGAAAAATAAAACCAATAATAACAAACAAAATAAGATTGAAAGGGCACTGGAATGGAAAATGGCAGCCATAGGATATAAAAGGCAAAGGGACACATCTACAAAACTCAACGTCATGTATGGCGACAGAGAGAATAAAGAGACAAACGTGTCCATCTGCAGTGTGGGTGGAGAGTCTTGTTCATCAGTGAACTGATGTGGGAGCCATCTCCTTCAGGGGCACGGGGCAAGAAGGGAAGGTCAGCAGGGAATTCACAGGAATAAATGGTGGAAAAAAAAAAAAAGGAAGAACAGCCAGGAAATTACTCTGTGATGAGAGAAAGCCTACTAGGATTTTAATGTTTATTATACATGTCATAAAATTAAAAACAGAGAAGAATTTCTAGAGGAAAAATATTTTTACACAGCATGTATTGATGATACATTGTTTATATAATATGTATGCATTTTAGAAAGCTTGGAAAATGAAGAAAACAAACATCCTTCTAACCTCATGACCCAGAGATAAGCACCACTAATAATTTGACAACGGACTCTCTCTCCCTGCCTTTTTCTGTTTCTCCCTCTCTCTCTCCCTTACACACACACACACACACACACACACACACACACTCATAAAAGTGGGATCTTACTGTATATATAATTTTTAAGTGTTTTTTGACTTTAAAATCACTTCATGAGCATTTCCCATATCATGAAATGTTACCCGAAAACACAGTAAGTTGCTGGGTGTGGTGGTACCACATTGTAATTAATGACGATATTGAACAACGAAGCATTGTTTTTTTTTATTATGTTATGTTAATCACCATACATTACATCATTAGTTTTGGATGTAGTGTTCCATGAATCATTGTTTGTGCATAACACCCAGTGCTCCACGCAGAACGTGCCCTCTTTAATACCCATCACCAGGCTAACCCGTCCCCCCACCCCACCCCCCTCTAGAACCCTCAGTTTGTTTCTCAGAGTCCATCGTCTCTCATGGTTCATCTCCCGAAGCATTGTTTTTAAATGAATAGGTAGATTTCATTCATTTGATTGATGGGTATCAAGATCCACCATATAAAAAATCACTCTGGAAAACCTGAAAGGGTTGCTCTTGACAAGCTTAGCAGCTTCTGGAAAACTTACAGACACATGGGCTATTTATCTTTCCATGTACCTGCCCTGAAGCTCCTTTCCTGCCTGTGGGTCCTTGTTTCCCAAGAATAAGCACGGTGCACTCCCCACAGTAAGTCCTCAATAAATGCTCATTGAAATTTAAGTGGAAAGATAAGTTCGTGGTTCCATCGCTTCCTGCTCCGCGCCCCTCCCACCCAGCCCCTGCGCACTCCGCCAAGTACTGAATTTGCTCTTCCAAAACTTCCCCTGAGCCTACGGACATCCCGGTTTTCATACAACTTTCATTGATATGATTAATCTCCTATAAATCCTCAGTCTCTCCACTGAGTGTCTCATTTTGCAGGAAGCCTCGCCCATCTGTCCCTCTCCATCCTGTATCCACCACCTGAGTAGTTTCAGTACCCAGGCGATGAGCCATTCCACACCGTGGCCTGAGCACTGAGTACAACGCCACGGACAACGCCAACTCCACTTTAGCACACACTCCCTTCATCCTGTGCAGGCACTTCCATCACAGCCCACCTGCAGAGTCCACGGTGCTCGCTCCCATCTCATGCCTGCGTCCTCAACCTCTGGTTTACTCCTTGCACCCTCATCCCCATGCAGCTGCCTGATGGAGTCCGTCTGTAGATCAGTCCGTCTCTAGCTCTCCATTTCTCCGTTCAGCTCTCCACGCTCTGGCAGCACCACCAGCTGCTGCCTCCCTGGCCAACCCAGGCTCCTCTTGTTCACCTTCTAAGTGCTGGACCACCCGGAGCTGCATCATGGGTCCACTTCTCTCCTTGGATGGTCTCATCAAGATCATGGTTTGACATGAGAGACGATGGACTCTGAAAAACAAACTGAGGGTTCTAGAGGGAAGGGGGTGGGGGGATGGGTTAGCCTGGTGATGGGTATTAAAGGGGGCACATTCTGCGTGGAGCACTGGGTGTTACGCACAGACAATGAATCATGGAACACTACATCAAAAACGAATGATGTAATGTATGGTGATTAACATAACAATAAAAATTTTTTTAAAAAGATCATGGTTTGAACACCAGCCGTCTGCCAATGACTCTAACCTAGATCAGCCTCCTCAGAGATCCCAAAACTTATATATCCAGTTGTCTAACTTGACATCTCACCTTTGATATAAAATGGGCATCTCAACCTTAATATGGTCAAAACAGAAATCTGGTCCTCTCCCCTCCACCACCAACTGCTCATCATCTCTCTTCCCCACCCCAGGAAATGGCAGTACCCCTTAATTCCCAAATCTGGGAA